CAATCTATCTCCTCTCGGTGACTTTTGGACTGTCTGCCTGCGATCAGATGTGCAAACAGTCCTTTTCCTCTCCCTCTGACACCTTTTCATTGATTCGCTGACACACGCCGCTTGCTGAGAGACGGATCTTTACATGAGAGACACGAGGTATCCCGCCAATGAATATGGATGGAGAACGTCCATCTTTCCATCCGCCATCAGGCTCCGCCGACGCTGAATGCTAACGGGAAACGGCGAGCGACTGAGAGGAATCTGAAATTGAACTTGATGCGAATCAGTCTCCTACGTTTTCCGGGGACGGACTCAAAGGGAACGCGGCCAGCCTTGAGGAATAGCTCCGAGCTCTAAGCCAGTACTTTTGAAATACTGGCTCAGAGCTTTCTGGCAACAAGAGGGAGACCGATGAAATTAAATTAAAAAGATGAGAAGATGGTGGCCTGAGAGAGGAGTTTAACGTAAAGGTTCTGAAATGTGAAATATCCACCTGAAACACTGTTGGAGGACAAGTTAACTCATTGGCTGCCAAAGACGTTTATAGACGTCTTTTATGTTTTTCAACGCGAGTGGCTGGGGGACGATCTGTTAAAGCTTGTCCGTAAATATAGGCTTCTACACAGAGCATGTAGTAACAAATTTACCCTCTAGGTGGCAGTGCCACTTTTGATGGGAGATAAGCATAGCTTGTAGGCAAATAAAAAAAAACGCAATGCGAAAAATGGCGCCGGTGAGACGCACGTCGAGGAAGAACGGAATAAGGTAGAAACAAATAATTTTTCCTGATGAAAGAAGAGAGTCTACTCTTTCTCTTTTCTTTTGGTGTGTTCGGCGTTTACATAGTCATAGCACAAACGATTCTGTGGCTCCTGAAAAATCAGTCAAAATGCTCAAAAAACTGGCAGTATGGGACTCTCCGTTCTGAAAATGGCTGGCAGTCAATGAGTTAAAAACAAAGAACCCAGTAAAAACGAATCCAGATTCAAACTCCGAGCTTGGATGTAAACAACCCAGTGTAATTTTTCAGAGCCGCTCGTTTTCCCGAGCTGATCCAGATCCTATGAGGCACGCTGTTTATGGGCTTGCTCATCCAGAAGATGGCCGCCTGTGGCAGGACTTCCTGCTTCTTAGATTTTCCGCGGCTGTTAGTTAAACGACACCGGGATTAGTCAAATCGCTCCGTTTTTTTATGGCATGTCCAGTTCTCTGTGCGTCATCTCCATTTTCCATCATGTGGCAGTTTTATTCAAATGAAAAATCTTATCTTACCACTTTATTACAGTAACAATTACTTATGTTGGAATCGCGTGTCACAAACGGAAAGCAGACCCTGTAAAGTGGCAACTCGGCACCATGTCCTGTTCAGGATAAAAGTGTCAGATCTCCGAGTCACAGTTTGTTCCTGTAAAACTCCAAATTCTTCAGCTTTTTTTTCCATTCAGATCCGACACAAGCGTTTCTACCCTGCCTGCTCTCCTCAAATTCCTATTTCACAGAATTCTGATATATCTTGTCCCCCTGAGTCACTTCGAATGATTTTATGAAGTACATGGTAGTCTCTTAAATCAGATTATATCATCACAGTACCTCATAAATACATTTATGATATTCGGCAGAGCATTTTTTCCCGTTATTCCTCTAATGTGGGATTTAGAAGTAAATGAATCCTTTGAGGGGTTTGAATGATCATTTGAATATGTATTAAAAAGCAAATCAAAGCCACACATACTGTACGAGGGTCTGCATGAATACAGACAAGTCATTAAATAATTAAGATGAGGTGATAAACGGGGGAGCAAAGTCTATCAAAACAAACACAAACACAGATTTCGGTGTTTTTCAGGCTTGCTAATTTCTTTCTTCGTAAAGGCACCCGTATTCTACGGACACTTTTAGAGGGGGGTACGCGTTCACCACCGGGATTTGCTTCCACGTTTGCGAGCACGTCTAGCAAAAACAAGGCGGAAAAGGGGGCCTTGGGACCGAGACAGACGAGGAGAAGCGGCACCTCTTAGGAAATAATTATCTCTCTCATCCTCCTGGGGGAGACGGGGCCGTGATGGCTGGCAGTTTGCTGCGTCTGAACCAGAGGCTGTGTTTCTCCCCCCTGTGAGCGCGCTTGTTGACGAAGCTTTCGACTATTCGCCGCAACGCTTTCTTAGAATTACGTGAGAAATATGAGTCAGTTTACAATTTGTAACAGTGAGTCCCTTGTGGAGCGCCTACACCGTGTAGCTCAATGCCACACTTAAGTACAGCGAGCAAAGTGTCTGATCTCATCAAAGAGAGCCGGAGAAAGCTTCGGAGGTTATGAAACATTCCTTTGTCATTGAAATACTGCCCACCGCACACTTCAGAGTGAGGGTTTAAAAACTCAAACAGGAAGGATGTGAATATATATACGTTCATTTCCGTGACTAATAAAAGACAAAAGACATATTAACCCTTTCATACATGAATTATGATCATTTCAGTCAGGATTTTTTTTAAATGGAGGGGGGGGTGTTCATTCATGGATTTATCCAGATGTCCACAAACAGTGCATGTTTTAAAATGTCTATGTCTATGTTATAATGTGAACATATTTTGACACATGAACACATACTTGTCATGTAACTCTCATCCTGTCTTCATTACTATCTCATCCCTTTTCTCACTCATTCAACCTCTTTATTAATTTGAGTCTTTCTCAGCTCTTCTTTAACAGCATATTATTGTGGACATTTGAAAATGTTTAATGCATCATACACCAGTGTTCATTTCAAACATAAAAACCCAAATACACAGAAGAAAATGGCTTTTAAATGGCTGTCCACTGTAGTGATCTCTATGCATGAAAGGGTTTAAATGAGGAGACTTCACATGTTGTCACAGAGGTTGTTCCAAAACTGACAGTTTCGTGTACGACAAGTGAAATGCGAAATGTTTCGGATGATTTAAAGCCACCTGAGTTGCCGAGTGATTTTTCCAGGAACAGAGAAGGCGGGTCAGAGGTGGCCGGGTCTGCACCGGTGCTTCATCTTCGGCGAGACGGGACTTCTGGCTTTTACTGGCGCCGGTGAGAGAGGTGATGACATCATCCTCGCAGGCTTCTAGACACCGAGATGCTGGCTGAGGTGCAATAACAAAAATAGCCATCAAAGAAAGAGGAGAACAAAAGGGCGAGAAAACAACACACGTTTTTAGACGAAAAGAGCTGTTTTTGAGTGAACTGATTTAAATTTCTTCCTATTCCATTATGTAAATTAACATCACATCCATGTAACAAAATCAGGAATACTTTCCTCATAGAATATATGTCACATTTAAGTTTTAAACTAAGGTTATATTCCAGAAGCATGCTATATAGAATGAGCACCTAAAGGGAGAAAGAAAAGCCGGTGGTATCAGCGTGTTTAATTCAGTCGGAATGTAATCTTTTATAGCGGGTTTCGAAAAGAGGAATAGAAAAATCAAGGATCTTTTCCTTGACTGCCCCTCGTTTCTATGGGAACGCACACAACAAAACGTCCTTGGAGACCTGGCTGACACCGCTGAGAACCTCTCTACCACAACTTCACAAAATACTTTTTTTTCTCTCTTTTCAGACTCCTGCCAGTTAGGTTAAATGACAATAAATGAAAGGTCAGCAACTGTGTGGAGTTGTGATTAGGTAGATGTTAGCACTTGTTTAAGATAACTCTCTTAAGCACATAAAGCCTGCATGTCGCCATTTCTGTGTATTTTTGACTGATTTGTGACATTTCAATTTAAATTAGAATTCATTCATGTCTTCGGATCAAACAGTGGTCCACAATGGTGATTTAACATCGGTTAGATCCCAAGTGGGGAGATTTATTCGAGATCTGTGTTGCGCAAGTTTGGGTGAGTTATTTTAATCAGATTACATGAAGTAGTTCTTAAACTGCTGTTTCCAAAAAACCTCCATCTCTCATGTGACACCATCAAGAAATGACAAACCCATGGAGGACTTGACCCACAGAATAAGAATAAAGATGGACTCCTGTTTGGAAAAATGGACAACATGGATTATTTACATTGCAGGGACTAATTGAACATATGGGACATTGTTTACCAGCTCGAGTCGTATCCCAATCCGGACAGTGTATAGTTTTGTTTATGTTGTGTGTGTGTTTGTTTCTGTTTTTTCCTCTCCTTTTTGTCTTTATCACACCTTGTAATTGTTAACAAAGAAAAAAAAAGTTAAAAAAAAAAAAAGAAATGACAAAACAAACTGGAAAATCAAACTTAAATCAGCTTTTTTTTAAAAACATAATTGCTTAAAAGCCTAGTAAAATTCGCTCGACGTCCGCTTTTCTGCTCACATACGGACGGACCGGTTGCTTTGATGGACATCCCGGCGAGGTAATGTGGAAGTGATCCTGCTCGAGTCACTTTCTGGGTTCATTAGCCGCGACGCGCACCGTGTGGCAGGGGCCATAACTCATCCTCCTCGGCCGCACAACGCTGCCACCGCGCTCATTAGGAAAGCACCACCCAACAAGGAAAGGCAGGTAAGCTAGTTAGAGGTGTGACACGAGGGAGGTCACCGTTCAGCGGAAATGGGGAGAAATTAAGGGGCCAAATTATCGAGACGTCCTTGACAGTACAAGGGAATAGTGGGGGATACATCACTGTGTGGTTCAAGTGGAAAATCTTTAGGCAGGACATTTTAAAGCACGAGCGCGCCAGTGTGTGTTCGACACGAGGACGCTTCTCTCTTCCGGAGAGGGGAAAAAAAAATCTGAAATTCAGCTCAAAACAGCCTTAAATATGTAAAAATAGACACTTTGATCATCCTTAAGACGCACATTTCACCAGTGACTACTCAAGTTATGTGTCTGATGGGTGTGTGGGAAGTAGTTCGGTTCAAACATGCTCTTTCATCTCTCCAACTGCATCATCAGACTTGTGTTTCACTACCTTAAAATGCACTCAGACCGAAAAAAAAAAAAGAATCAAAGGCTTAAAGACTGCAGATCAAACAGAGCTGCGAGAGCACGATTGGTGCAGAGTCTTTATTTAAAAAAGGGTGGAAAAGCGAAGCGACAGGTGTTGAACGCCACTCACGAGGTCACGGCTGAGGCAGGGAGGTTTTCCCGGGTGAGCCCGGCTGTGGGGGGTCTGGGTCCGCCCCCCCCGGGGGATCCGTCCCGGGTCTGGGATCGTCCGAAGGCGTCAGCGTGAAGTAGCCCGTGTGCTGGAACTTGAGCACCTCGTTCCCCCAGCTGGTCCAGCCCGGCTGCAGGTTTCGGGCGAACAGCTCCAGACGCCTGGCCTCAGCCCTCACGTAAGGCCTCAGCACCTCTGTGGAAAAGGAAGACATCATTTTGCCTATTTCATTTTTCTCTAAAGATATTTTTCCCCACACTTGATGCGGTCCGTCATCGTCTGTGTGACATCTTCCTGCTCTGAAACCACAAGATAAAAGACACAGAGATGCCTTAATTCTATTCTAACAAACACATTACCAGAGCAAGCTAACTAAGAGACGAAACATTTAACTCATTGGCTGCCAAAGACGTCTATAGACGTCAATTCAAATACAACCGTTGACTGCCAAAGACGTCTATAGAGGTCTTTTATGTTTTTCAACGCGAGTGGCTTGGGGGACGATCTGCTAAAGCTTGTCCGTAAATATCGGCTTCTAGACAGATTATGTACTAACAAATTGACCCTCTAGGTGGCAGTGCCACTTTTGATGGGAGATGAGCATAGACTGTAGGCAAATAAGAAAAACGTAATGGTTCGCTATGAGAGAACATGTCGCCGGTGAGACGCAAGTCGAGGAAGAACGGAATAAGGTAGAAACAATTTTTTTTTCCTGATGAAAGAAGAGAGTCTACTCTTTCTTTTGGTGTGTTCGGTGTTTACAAGTCATAGCACAAACTATTCTGTGGCTCTTGAAAAATCTGTCAAAATGCTCACAAAACTCAGTTTGGCAGTATGGGACTCTCCGTTCTGGAAATGGCTGGCAGTCAATGAGTTAAGCAAACACGCCTTAATTCTATTCTAACAAACACATTACCAGAGCAAGCTAACTAAGAGATGAAACATTTAATAGCTTGTTTTAACGCAAGTCATGAGCTGCCTTTTTCCCCTCTGTTTTATCTCACTTTCCTGTTCGCTTTTCTCCATTTGCATTTCGTTTGTATTCAAGTGAAGCTCCGTGTGATTTTTTAAGCCCGGTGAGACCTGTACTTTCCAGTTCTGAGCCTGTCACCCTGTAACAGGCGGAGGACGGCAGCAGCCCCTCCGCCGTGTGGAGACTGGCAATGACCTTGGCTTTAGAGGTGCTAATATACCGGGAGAAGCACACCTGACAGATCCGTTTCACTTCCCCTGCCCCTGCGCCGCTCTGACACTCGCCTCAGCCACCACTCGGGGAGTTAATGAGCTCAAAAGTCGGATCCCGAAAAACCGATCTCACCGGCACAGTGTGCTGTCCTGCCCGCTGGTTTTTTTTCTTTCCCTCCTTTCCTGTGTACGTCACCGAGGCAGAACCACGGCGTGGAAAGGCCAAACATGCAGCTCTGCAGCTAATTCAGCCCCGAGTGGTGACTCAGCTCTGAAGGAGGAAGGAGAGTAAAGGTCTAATTATCTTTTTAACTTTGAAACGGGACGATGTGTCGAAGCACCGAAAAGCCAAAGGAGAGCGCGACTTAACACAAGACGTATTTATTCTGCCTCTTCGTTTTCTTCCCAGGATAAAAAAAAAAAGTGAGAACCCACCACTGGCGCTCGGTGATCCGTCACTAACCATCTGGCATGTGTTTTCCATCATACACCTAAATTGTGTACCTCGGTTTTAATTCGGCCGTGTTTAAAATAATTCGGTACAGTGTGGGTCCTTATAGATCATGTAGGAATGGACTTTACAAAACCTCTAAATGTGTCCTGGCTTATTATGCACCGAGAGATTAGCAGCCGACACCTTAAAAGTAGCATCTGAGACCAGAGGATGATACAGATGTTATAGCAGCTAACCACATCTGCAGAGATATACAGACAAAGGCATCACACTACTGACGGGTCATAGGTCACTCAACTTCTATGTACAGTGCCTATAATGTCATCTGTCAAAGCAATTTCTTAGAAGTTATTCTTTGCTATTGGGCCAGAGGAGTTAAGGTACTCCGTGACCCTTTGGTTGGTTCACTGGTTGTCCTTTTGGGATGTACGAACCACCTCAGACTGGAAAGGCTCTGATCCTGTCACCGTTCAGTCACAATTTAGCCCTCGTCAAAGTGTCTCGGGCCCTTAAGCTTGTCAGCTTTTGTGTTCAATCCACACACACACACACACACACACAGCTCCCCACTAGCTGCTTGTTACCCTCCTCCTTCTAACACCAGCCACTGCAAAGAAAAGGAAACCCACTTAATCTCATCTCAAGTCTTTCTTTAGCTGCTTTTTTAAACATCTTAAATAATTATTTAGAAAAACAAAAAAGGAATAATCAAATAACCAAGTGAAATGAATAGGATGCCAAAGATTTATGGACACGAATGTCACGTTTTTATGAACCAGACACAAAGTGACAATGGAGAAAATACAAAGTGAAGCACGCATTATTGGTAATATTGGTAATTCATTGGTGACATCTTGTGCGTGTTTTTTTTTTTTTACATTTGTGCACACGTTTCCCAGTGTTTTCCCGGCTTTTGATTGTCCAATTCAAAGAAGGGGATCACTCTATGCCTAAAAGTCAGGGCTGAATATCTGAGCCCTTTACTATTGTTCACTATTATGCCTCATGTTAACCTAACCAAGGACCAAAGAAAGCCTCGATACAATGGGGACCACCTGTGAATACAGCATAATATCATAATTAATCCTATTACGTCTCGTGGCGCTGTGCTGTAGTTCTGGGTTGAATCGACCTAAATTTTTACAAAAGGAAACGTCCAACAACAACTGATCAAAACAGACCAGTAATGTTTGTTGGAAAGTTGTCCAGAGCATATTCAAAACCAAAATAATAGGCAGGAAAAGTGTGTTTTAAGAGAACTTAATCACACAGAAAATCTGTGTTATGAGGTAGGAAAGAACAAGTCACTGTATTTATTTAACCACATTGACATGATTTATGGAAAATATTTGAATTAAATACGGCCTCTAAATTCTAGTGCCACATAGGGATTAACAGCTAGCAACCCTGAAGTCATTAACAGCTACAACACTGTAACTCTTGGACTTTTAGGCAATGCCCAAAGTAATGGATACATTAGACTATCTGGGCTAATTATCCATTATGATCTGTTCACAGCTCTCTGAGCTTTTTGTGGTGTGGAAAAAAACAACAAAAAACTACGGAGCCATTTCTGGAGAAACAGAAATGTCTTTTGAGAACTGCTAAAAAGTTTGACAACAATCTATCAAACTCTGTTTAAAAATAGAAAAATGAAAGCTGACAAAATGAGATTCAAAAGACTCACTCCATTCACTCCATTTATCTGACACACACACAACAAAAAATCATTCACTCAAATGAATGTTTGGGTTACATAAAATTTGGGCATTTAGATTATGATTGGGGAAAGCCACATGGTATTAAGCCTGCTCATTCAATGACTCCATGATATTCATGTTGTAAAGCTAAAGAGGAAGGAAACACAAGTTTTTAAAAAAGTAAAAGGGGGGTTTATTAATAATAATTGTTAATGATTGTTAATCATTCTTATTTGACAAGTACGAGCGCTTATTGTTTCGGTTACTTGCCCGATAATTCTGTTTCTTGGCAATGATTGTTTCCGTAATGGAGTAACACTGCCTCTTATCTCTCCATAGCAACCAAGAATGTGAGAGAGAGGAGCCCCATCTGAGAGGGCAGCGCAAGAGTGTCGGAGTGTCTCAACGCCGTGAACTCCATAGTCGAGGCTGCCCCAAAAAAGATCCCGAATTTTTTTTGGGGGGGGGCAGCTGTGAGGGACGGAAAGCTCTGGCTGGAGGGTGAACGTCGGACATCTGACAGAGGTTGGATCTCCACTGGAGGTGTTAAATCCTTCTCTCAACTAGTCAAATTACTTATCTCTGCTTTTGTTGGTGTCTCGGAGAAGAGTCAAACCATTTGAATACTTTTTTGGGGGGGGCACAGTTTACGGTGACAGATTTGAGACACGCCCACCGCAGAGTTTAGAAAGCAGCTTCACAAACTGAAGATATTTTTCCATTACTTTTTCTTTAGCGTGTCATAACCAGCATTACAAACGTCACTAAGAAAAGAAAGAGCCACTGGAAATAACCAGTACTGAAAGAACCTAATGAGGGGGGGTTTCCATGGACATAAAAATCCCACATGGAGACCAAACACAATCTGTTTCCTGATCTACTTAATCTCTATGGTATCACAGCTCCATGGAGGCATCATTACAATTTCAATCTATGTATTTTAACAATATCCAGCTCCTTCTGTTCAAACGGGGGCTTTTCTGTGCTGCTGAAAGGGGCTGCAGCAAACACCGGCCCGGCACGGCTCTCCGCGGTGAAAAATGAATTGTGCTCCCCTGAGAGGGAGCCAGATGACGTCAAGTCTCCCTTATTCATAGTCCCCTGCATATTCATTGTCAAGGTCTGGCATTGATTCCGAGTTGCGGAGTGCACGTCGGAGTCGGGAGAAAGCACGCGCAAAACAAATCTGACACTTGAGCAGCAAAAGTTCACACTTCGATAAGTCAAAGCTGTCAGGGGTTCAATGTCTGCTGTTGTTGCATAAAAAAAGAGGTAAAAAAGAGGCCCAGAGTGTTGTTTTAAGAAGATAACTCCCCTCCAATCTGCAAGACAACACAAGTCTAGCGTGTTTTCTTCCTATGCAAATGAGCCATCTATTCAATAATTATTCAAGCTCAAACTGCTGTTATTTTAAATACAGCTTATGATGCGTTTAGTCTGAGTTTGCACGCGCGGTGTGCATTTTCTAAAGGAAAGTAGTGACTCAGGCTGCGAGCCGTAACCGTGACGGCAGCGTTTCGTTCTCATGGCGGCGGCGGTGGTGCAGCGCTGCCATCTGGTGGTGCCACGGGACACTGCACTCACCCGACAGGGAGGGCTTGTGGGAGTGCAGGACCGAGGGCACGCTGACGATCAAGCGCCCGTCTTCCACCGGAGGCTCGGCTACGTCCGAGGAGCTGAAGCGAGACAGAGCGAGAGAATGACCCGGGCGTCCCCCCCCCCGTTCGGAGGTCGCCCCGGAAACAGGCGTGAGTCAAGTCAAGTCAATCATCTGGCACCTCTCGGGGGTATCGGCAGGAGGGCGATATCGACCGAGCACCAGCGTCTCGTACGGCTTCTTGTGCGGGGAATCTAGAGGAAACACAAGCTGCCCAGAGGTGGTGACCTGAAGGGGGGGGGGGGGGGGGGGGGGGGAAAATTTGTGACCCCCTGAACGACTCCC